ATATATATTTTTTTATCTATAATCATTGTTTTATTCCAATCTTATATCTCATATTTCGATTTTGCCTGCTTCAGCTACGAATTTCTCGCAGTGTAGCACGTGCATTTGACGGCAAGATTGGTCACCTGCGACCAGGTGCTCCACAACAAATTCTAGATGGTGCTGCTGATAGTGTATCAGCAGCCAGAGAGGTGGTCAGGTCAGCAACCGGTTCGCTTGCCAATTGAGCGCATTGAAATTGATTGGAATTGAGTGCACGCCCACATTTACCGATCCCCCCATGCCCCCTGCCACCTCTTAACGCTCTTCCTCCAGAGCGGCTCAATTTATTCGTGTGACGATGGCAGCAGCAGAAGCCTGTCAGGCGGCTATTTTCGTTGCATGACACTATGCTAATGTTACGAAGATCTTGATAGATGATGCCAACTTTGAACTCGCACTTTTTTGCGCACTCACACACACACGCACACACACTTTGCATGAGTGCCAATAATAACAGCTAAGTAATACAATAGCCAAACAAAACCTGGCACACGTCACCATCAATTTATGATATCAACTAACCAGAGAATAAAGCACAAAAATTTTACTTTGGCTTGCCGAAAACTTAACACCCTATATATGAGCCATAGCGGTATTTATATTTAAGATTTGAAAATATATTATAAGCAAGACCAACTTTGGCTATAGGAATTCACAGCTTTTTCTTATAAGCTGCTCATTTCATTAAAGATCTCTTTCAGATCCAGTTGATCTACTGAGCACAATTCAATCTTGACTTGACATGAGCTCAGCTAATCCACAGAGAACTTGCTCACCTTCTGACTATATTAAAAGCTCAACAGCTGCTGAATGGAGAGCAACGAGACTTGCTCTGAGGGCTAGATGAAAGCTGATATAGGTACGAGCCATTGTTAAGCGAGATTTGCGAGCTCAGAGAGGAAATGGATTTTGTTCCAGATAGAAATAAATGATTTTCAAAACAGCTGTATCAACCTCATTTCACACAATTTCTATGTGCATATATTTTGGCAAATATTCAAAAATTCTCAAGCTCAACGGTTAAGCCAAGCATTTAGCGGAACTTGCAGAAGAAAAAAAAAAAGAAATAAAAACCTTGTTGCCTCCGGGAAAGTAAAAACAATAAACAGTTCTTCTTCTTATATAGAAACTCTCAATTAACAGCATACCCTCACTCATCTGATCACACGTTGGGTATACACAATCATTAATTTCAGTTGAAAGCTGACAAGCAATTAAATGCCGTAGATATATTTCAATGCAGATTTTCGTTTTTATTAATTTTTCTATTGTTGGCCACTTAAAGGCAAAAACTCGACTCTGACATGACCCGAAATAGACTCTGTCAGCTTTGATTTTATAATAAATAATAACTTTTTGTTGCGCTTATTCACAATGGGCACGTTTCACGCTCTCCAAATTGCCAAAATAAAAATGGCATAAAATGAAATGATATAAAATGAGCTCATTTTCCAGCGTTTAGAGACAACTTTTACGCCCAAATATGAGCAGATATATTGTCTGACGACTAGTCTGACTTGGCCATTTCCTTTAGCCCACATTGAGTTGCCCAAAAAGCTGCTCGAGCGCCAAATGGGTCGCCAGACGGCGCCCACACACGTAACTGCGTTTTGTCTCTCAATCGAAATTATCTTTATTTTTTGGTTACAAATGTTACGATGCCTCTATCTCGCTCTCTACCTGTCTCTTTTGGTATTTGGCCAGTTAGTGGTACAACAACAGCTATCGCAACAATCAACATGTTTAATTAACAGCAAAACACGCCGCAAGCCGAAGCCGAAGCCGAAGCCAAAAAAAGACAACACCGGCAACAAATAGAAATATCAACAAGAAAAGCAATTAGCTGCAGCAAGCCAGCCATTAAATACCCTGTAATTAAGGCTATAGTTGGACAGATTATTGAAGACGAAGAACGCTTCTATAATTAAAATCGATCATTTGTAGTACTTTAAATAAATATGTTTATATAAACTTTAATAGTGATCATAATACTAAAAACTCAGTTCCTAGGCGCCGCCTCTATTATCGCTTTGGACAGTTGCTTAACAAGCCAATTTTCCATAAGTATTTTCACTGCTATAAAAAACTTCAATTGTAACGGGTTTCATATACTTTAGGAACTATGGAAGTCATATCATATACCTATATCCCTATATAGCCGATATGATCTATTTCGAAGTACGTGCCTTCTGCTATTAAAGCAGCATCTGACCCAAGTTTCCATAAAATAGCTGTACAGAGAACCGAGCTCCGATAGGTATATGATATATTTTACTTAAGTGATACGATCAATTTTATTATATGTGTAGTCTGTTATCAAAAGCAACATCTGCTCCAAGTTTAAAAAAGATAGCTTTACTAGGATCTCAGTTCCGATAGGTAACATTCTAACTACATATGTGCTAGTTATACGATTAAATCAGTTGCCTTCTGCTAGCAAAACCAACATCTGTCCAAAGTTTCACAAGGATAGCTGCTCAGCTCAGATAGGTCTAAGATCGGAGCGTTACATATTTAGTCCAAAAAGCGGTACTACCCATCTGCTCATTACAACAACGATCATAACAAGTTGGTTGCCAAAAGTGTTTAGACCAAATGAAGACAAAAAGCGCAAACTGATAAAAAGAATACACAATAACAAACTGACGTCAGCTACCTAAGTTTGTGTKTGTGTCTGTGTGTGTGTGAACTAGTTTGTTCTCAAAATCTAATTAGAATTGGGAAACGTGTTTTTTTTTTTTTTTATTTCTTGAAAGCAGCGAACAGAACTCTGCCAAGTGAAAGCTGGAAAACAACTCCTGAGTGAGCCAAAAACACTTGAATTCCTGCCAAGATCTATGGGCCGATGAGATCCGCTATTACATTTGTTAAACACCAGCTTAAATGATTATTGTAATTGGTAAACACCTTTTTTCGTGTCGTTTTGCAAAATTTATGACTTGGGCTCTTGGGAACAGAGCTCTGACTAATAGTTGACTTATTTTTGCCTGAGTTTTGCCTGCTATATCATTTAATAAATATTTATTTTATGCATTTACAAAGCAACAAACATATTCATAATTTATGTGTTGGTTTTTTGTATACCCTATACAAAAATTTGACATGTAGAATATATGGAAATATCACGAATTAATGCAACAGATGGAAAATGGTGGCTCATTCCATAATATTTATACACCCAATCAGCTTAGCTACAAGGCAAAGCTAGCTGCTCTCTACAGAGTATTCAGCAGTCGTGCTTTCTCCTAATTTTCCTTTCCGATTTTTTGTTGATTTTGCTTCCAGGTTTTTCTACTTCTCTTTTAACTTTGGTAATTTAATTTTTGTTCGCGTTATGGTTGTTATTGTTGTTCAGCTCCCATAATCAGTGGCTTTGAAAAAAGAGTTGGAAATAGACGCAAAGTCGACCGGTTTGCGCTTTGATAGAGCTGATGTCATAGGGCTTGATAAACCGCTGAGCAGCCGTGAAAAAGTGCTGAAAGGCTTCCTCGTTGTTGCCACTTGTGGCACCAGGCCGTGTGACATCAATACGACGATTGACAAAACAACGGCATAGGCAAACGCACAGCTGTTCGAGGGGCGTGCCGTTGGCTGGGGCGGAGCCATTGCCACAAAATGCCAATACAGATAGACACAATCGAGCCGACGTGCAACATGCCTCCTGCCGCAACGTTCAGTCAGTCAATGAACTTTTAGGTCAGGATAAGCAAGCAGGCGACACGCAATGCCAATAATCACACAATTGCACACAGTCACAGACAGAGTCACAGTCACAGTCACAGTCAAAGTCATAGTCACGGTGATAGTCACACTCACAGTCACAGTCAAAGTCATAGAATAGATATAACCATGACGCTTCACTTACCCACAGGCTTTAGTCTGCGCCTCCGTTGTCTGTTTCAACTTTCAACTTTTTCAACTTTGTTTTGCACAATAAAAAACTTTCAGTTAGCGCCGGGCTAACCGTTTCAAAGGCAAACAGTCCTTGTTGCTTTTACCGCCTGTGCGGCAGGACTTTCAAAACATCTGCGTTAGACGTTGCCAAAAAAGCACAACAGCAACAACAGCAACAACAGCAGCTGCAGCAACACAATGCGAGCGATTTCAATTTGTGGGTGAGCTGGGGCTGACTGCGAACTGGGGGAACTTAACTGGGGGACGAGGGGAGTATTTTGTTTTCGTTGTTCGGTGATCGTTAATTGAGTTAAAGTAACAGCTGTCGCACTGTTCGTGCGCACGGTAAATTGAAATACTAGAAATTGCCAAAAATCTAATAAATTACGATTCAACTTTTTCGTTTTGTTTTCTATTTATGTTCGTAAATCGTTTTTCTTGAATTAAATATGAATTGCTTTTATATCTTTGTTTTCAAATGTAACGCACTCGAGCGCTGCTGTATACAAACTGAGCGCCAAAGTTGAATTCGCTTGCCTTTTTGGTTTGAGCAGCAGCGGAAATAACAGCAGCTGTAATGATGGCACAAATAACAGCAAGAACAGCTACAATGTAAACTTTAACAGCGACAGCTTGTGGCTGGCGGCTGTAGAAGCAGCTAGCATGCAAGCAATAACAGCGTCAGCTTTAACAGCAAGAGCAGCTCTACTGTAAGCAATAACAGCGGCAGCTTGAACTGCAGATATAACAGCAAGCAATCATGTGAGCAATAACAGTGGCTGTTTAAAAAACATTTATGTTGCCATATGTTAATTTTCAGTTAGATTATTTACTAATAGCAGCAAAGACAACAGGAAATTTCATAAAACTTCTCATAATATAATCCTAAATGCCAATACAAGCGTATTTATATTTATATTTTTAAGAACTTTGAGTTTAACATACAATTTTTAGAATTTAATAACAACGTTTGCAAACAAATGCAACTATTGAAGCTATTTTGCAAATTTTTGTCAATAGTAACACACTGTTAAAAGACACACACTTAATCGTGATAGTAACAGCTATAGCCAATTATACATACATATTGGCTATTAAGCTTTACAGTGTAGCTGTTACATAACAGCAGCCTTAACAGCTATCCTAACAGCTGCAATTCAACCTGCTCTGCGTTGGCGCCTTGCAGAGCATCGACAGTTCATGGACTTCTCTTCGGCCACTTCTTAACGGTTTTATTTTGATTCAATTACTTTAACCTTCGCCGCAAATTCTGGCTTTTTACGTTTTCAACTGGAAATTGACATAGTGCGATTCGCCCACGTTTCCTTAGCGAACTGTGAATTGTTTAATGGCTCATTGAATTGCGATAAGTTCGTTTAGGTTTTACTCAGCAGCCCAGCCGTTTATGGCGCTTCAGCAATGCCGCCTCTTATTGTTGTTATATAATCATCATCATTCTTACTGTTGCGGTCATACACACATGCACACACAGATTCAGACGGACAACCTTCACCCACACATGCGGCAAATGGAGCGTAAACCCAAAACCATATAAGATCATTTTTCGCTATTCTCGATATAGATGCTCAGTTTGCAATGTAATTAGTTTCAGTGAGCAATTTTATTGGGTTTTCGCATATTTTCATCTCTAAATATTTTAAGCCTGTATAGCGGTAATCGATTGCACCTAACTGAAAGCATTTTCTATGCAAACGCTTTGGCAATTTAAACTGAACTGATAATCTTCACACAATCAGATGTAAACAAATTGATTTTCTTTTTTATAATATTAGATGTTATTTTAATTATCAACATCTGTTGATTCAGTTAGTTGATTCATTTACACTGGCCATCAAAATAAATAGACAGAATAATTAGTCAAGTGAACAGACTACTTGATTGATGCTAAAGTCAAGTCGATAAGATTCCACCCAAGGTTTCCATAGAAACGTTGACCTTCAGTTTTCCAGATTTTCCTTTAAGGTTTACCGCGACACACTATTGATTCGAGCCAATATTGAGGAAATATTTCTGTTTTATATAATTCATTTAAGTATACTAAACAAAATTTAATGTACGACTTTATATGATAGAGCCTACTTTCGGGAGTTAAAATAGAGTAAAACAGTTTATTGTGTATACAATAAATACATTTTCATGCATATTTAGGATCATTTATTTTCATATTCTTTTATTTTTATTAAGTAGCAATATCACGTTGATGACTTTTCCGGTTTTCGTGGGCTTACGATATTAATAGCGATAGATGTGGATTTATGTAAGACGGTATATATATATCAATGAAGCGGCGTATTAATATAGGTATTCTATACGTATTATTGAGAATGTGTGTGTATATATATAGGTCGATATATATCGTAGGAGTTAGGTCTGCTTAAAACCCCAGCAAATAAACAGGAAATCGTTTGGCTTATGGACGTACAACTTATAACTTTATGAGTTTATCTATATATAGCTAGAATGCATATTAATGCTATGTCTACTATAGATATAGTGTAATTGTATATATAGTATATACTACTATATATATATACATATAGTTGGTTGTTATGGAGCTTACAAGCTATTCATATAAACGCATGTCTAAGACTAAGCATTGCTATCAAAATTGTATCAAAATTTCTATAAAACGTATTCCATTTTATCTGTTATGTACGAATATACACATATCTTCAATAAATATTCTTCTTCGTTTTTTGTTTATGTTTTAATTTTTAGCTGATTTGATTTCTGGCTGTATTTGCATTTGATTTCTTTGGTGTTCAATTTGCAGTGACATTTATCGTTATCGAATTCAATATCTATATATAAATATTTTATTTTTTATAAGTCTTGTGTTTTCAGTTGCTTTCGGTTTGGTTCAGTTATTACTCTTTAATGGAATCGGGTTGCTTGGCTCGCAAATATATTTTGGCTGTGAAACCGAATTCAAGTGCATACAGTTCTGGCCCATTGTAGTCGAGGGCTTTTGCATATATTGTTATTGTATTGTTTTTCTTGTTGTTGTTTATGTCTTGTGAGTACAATGAGCATGTGCTGAAAGTGGAACAAGAAGAATGCGATGCAAAAGAAGCAAAATAAAAATGATATATTCCTATAGGCCAATTATTCATATTATTATTCTAGCTACGAAAGATATTATAGTTTAGAAGCTCAATCCTATTCCATCTCAATATTTATGTTCAATCTAGAAAAGAAAAAATTAAAATGTACTTCAAAAAACAAAAAAAGTTGCAAAAATAATATTTTCATAATACATTTATTTTTATATTTTTCTTTTCGTATTTGTGGCTTAGGTGAGCATTAAAAATTAATTAAGTAAAACTTTTCATAAAATTAGATAAAATATATATAAWGAAATATATATAAATGTGTATATATTCGTCGCAGAGCATATTATGTTTTAAAAAATTAAGAATCCATTTAAAATTTAAAGCATATGTATGTCTATATGCTAAAAAAAAGGCAAAGTGATAATAATAATGTGTTTAAAAATAAAAAGAGATTTGCGATGCATACAAATCGCAAAATATAATGTTTAAATAATAAATCACAAAACTTAAGCTACGCACGTAAAATTCTAAGCTATCAAATATGCCGCAATTGTTGTTGTAGTAGTAGCAGACGTTGTTGTTGTTCTRTTCTCCAACTCTTCTTCTCCTCAACTAACGCTTAAATATTAATTTTACGCTTAATCAGTTTTCTTAGATTCATTTTTTGCAATATTATTTTTGTTTTTAACTACGTAAACTTACTTTATAAAAAGCACAATTATATTTATGTATTATATGCCTAAACACATTTGCGTAGTATCGTATATTGTATGTCTGCATACATAAATATATTTATATATATAGATCGTATATTTGTTATGAAATGTATCAAAAATTTGACTATTAACTAAAGTTTACTATAATCCAAATATAGTTATTAATTTTAGTTTTCTTTTGTTTTGCTTTCTGCTTTTTTTTATGCCAGTTATTTGCGCTCTTTAACCATGCACGTACATATACACACTTCTATTTCGATTTATATAAACATAATGATATCATTTGCTCAGCTTTATAGCTCTCTCAATCCATTATAAATAATATAATAATTATGAATAATCATTTAGCTTTCGTTCATACATACATATATATATTAAGTAAAAACTATGTACGGTCTCAAACTTAATTTGCTTGAGTTGTTACTTAATTTTATGCCATCATATCATTTCATATCGTATATATATATATTTATGTATATATATATCGTATATAGTAAGCTTTATCTCTTTATAGTTAATATTTAGTTAAATGTTGATGTTGGTTTTGCTAATCAGTGCGTGATCCCAGACGTTGATCCATTGTCTCCCCATTCGATTCACTTAGTCGGTCAGCGTTTGGGCCACAAGTGCCAATTGGTCTTTGAGCACACGGAATGAGGGACGCTCCTCGGGGCCATGCGACCAGCATTTCTTCATGACCTATAAAAGAATTGAGAAGCGATTATATATACTACATATAAATACTATTTTGTATATACTTACTTCGTATATCTCCTTGGCACACGACTTTGGTTTCTCTAGTATAATGCCGCGCTGCACACGCTCCACAACTTCGGTGTTCTTTAGGCGGCCATAGGGCATTTTGCCACATGTGAAGATCTCCCACATGAGAACACCTACAGAAATCGAAGACAAGTATTAAAATAGTATTTCTTGACCCACTCAATCAGTTCTGCCAGTAACACTCACCATAGGCCCACACATCACTTTTGGATGAGAAGCGCGTGTAGTTGAGCACCTCGGGCGGTGCCCATTTGATGGGGAACTTTGTGCCGCCGGAGCTGGTGTATTGGTCGTCCAGCACGTAGCGGGCGAGTCCAAAATCGGCCACTTTCACAACATTCTCGGAGCCCACAAGGCAATTGCGTGCTGCCAGATCGCGATGGATATAGTTGTGACGCTCCAGATAGGCCATGCCCTTGCTGACTTGTATGCACATGTCCAGCAGGAGGCCCATGTTGCCAATTAGCGTATTCTCGTGCCGGCGCAAATAGTTGAGCAGCGAACCATGCTTCATGTATTCGGTGACAATATAGATGGGACGATGTTTCGAGCAGACACCGTAGAGCTGTACGAGATTCGGATGCTGCAGCTTGGTCATCACCTTGGCCTCCTCGATGAAATCATCTTCGGACATGGTGCCCTCCTTCATCATCTTGACCGCTGTGTCGATTGAACCACGCCATTTGCCGCGACGCACAACACCAAACTGACCCGAGCCCAGCTCCTCCATCAGCATCAGCTCCATGGGATGGATTTCCCATTTGTCATGGGATAAGCCCGCTGTTGGTGGCACTGGACGATCGCATGGCGACGACTTTAGTCTGCACGCCAAACCACCCGAATTATGGCGATGATAGTTTATCAGATCCGGTATAGTCTCGCAGCAGTGCTTCTCGCTCAGATAATATTCGCCGCGGGCGTTCTGTTTGATGTGAT